AAGCTTGTTGCTTCATCCCATTTTTTTTCGACCATGTTGAAATTTATTTTTTGTTAATGATATTTTATGTATGAGTTTATGTACGGCCGGCAGCTAGCTCTCTGCAACTCTCACATGGTCGCCCACTGAAGCTAAGCAGGGCTGTGCCCGGTCAGTACCTGGATGGGAGACCACATGGGAAAGCTAGGTTGCTGCCGGAAGTGGTGTTAGTGAGGCCAGCAGGGGGCGCCCAACCTGCGGTCTGTGTGGGTCCTAATGCCCCAGTATAGTGACGGGGACGCTATACTGCTCAGTGAGCGCCGTCTTTCGGATGAGACGTTAAACCGAGGTCCCGACTCTCTGTGGTCGTTAAAAATCCCAGGATGTCCTTCGAAAAGAGTAGGGGTTTAACCCCGGCATCCAGGCCAAATCTGCCCACTGGCCTTTGTCCATCATGGCCTCCTAACCATCCCCATATTCCAATTGGCTTCATCGCTGTCTCCTCTCCACCAATCAGCTGGTGTGTGGTGTGCAGTCTGGTGCAAAATGGCTGCCGTCACATCATCCAGGTGGATGCTGCACACTGGTGGTGGATGAGGAGATTCCCCCCATTGAGTCTAAAGCGCTTTGAGTGCCCAGAAAAGCGCTATATAAATGTAAGAAATTATTATTATTATTGTTATTATTATGAAATTTTTGTTTGAAAATAAATAAATCAAATCAATATCAGTGGGTTATTATATGCAAATTATCCAGGTCCCAGACACTGTCAACTTACATTTATATTTGTATTATTTATTCATTCATTCATTTTCCTTCGGCTTAGTCTCTACTTCAGAGGTCACCACAGCAGAATGAACCACCAAAATCCGGAGGAAACCCACACTAACATGGGGTGAACATGCAAACTCCACATGGAAATGCCAACTGAGCCAGCCGAAGCTTGACTGAGTGTGTGTGTGTGTGTGTGTGTGTGTGTGTGTGTGTGTGTGTGTGTGCTGGTATCTTCCATATTTCTACACATCATCTAAATCTTGGTCTAATCTGAAGATCCTGTTATCATTACTGTTTCCATTACTCCACTCATTCAGCTGGTGTTGTGGAACAGCAGTCTTGTTACTCTCTGATACAGTAACAGTAGAGCCGCATGCATTAGATAGATGGAGCGCTTTGCCTCTACAGTCCCATAAAGTCAGAAGCTCAGTAAATTCTTAAAGCAACAAAGAGAAATGGAGTCGGTAATGCGCTGGACGAATGCTCCTTTCAGCGCAGACATAAAGCAGCTGTGTTAGTGTCTGAGCAGCACAAATGAATGAGCTCTGGCTCTATATTTACAGTGTTCTGGAGAACGTGATAGTGGGAGGGCGAGGGAAAACGCGGCCCTCTGATTTACTTAACGAGATTTCATTAATCAGATTTACTGCAAAGGAAGACAAATGAACTGTGACATAAAAGAGGAAGAGAAGAGGATTGGGCTAATCCTGCAGATTCAGAGGGAAGATACTCCTGTGTTTTTGTCGAGTGCAGAACATGGAAACTTCTGCAAACTTTAGCTTGTATCTCCTGCATGAAACCAAAGGCTCAAAGCAGCAGAAGAAAAAAAATAAAAGAGGTTCAACATGTATGTTACCATAGTCACTGGTTCCAGCCACGTTTTTGATCTCCAGCGTCCATTCTCCACGAGGGTCTTCATCCCAGGAGTGGGTGGTCATGAAAGCCCAGTCATTGAAGCCCTCAGAGGAGTAATCGTGAGGTCTGAGGGAGAGAATGTTTCATGTGTGACGCTGATCACATTAGAAGTGCATTATAAAAACACAATCAGTGTTGAAAAGTCACAAAAATCATTAATTATAAAAAAGGCTTTTAAATAAGCAGCACATTTTGCATGGAATAATCTGCAAACACAGTTGCAGTTCAAAGAATTGATTTCAATAAATGCTTTTAGAAAGAGTATAAATGATTTAGGAATTGAAACAGGCTTGTAGATGTTTTGAATAGTTTGTTAACTGTTAATTGTTTTTGTTTGTTGTCCGTTAGACCCATGTGAGATGTATACTGCCTAATCGGGACCAGGACGCTCTTTTAAAGAGATTTTTTAATCTCAATGTGTTTTTCCTGGTAAAACAATAATAATATTAATACAATTATTAATAATAATTACATGCTTTATAAACTGATTTTAAATTGTTTTTCTAATTAGTTTGTCTAAAACATAACTTGTTACACAAGAAATCATTTAATTACTTGACTCGATACTAAAATGCACATGAAGATCGACACAAATTAAAATGTTAAATCTTCAAATTGGAGTCAAACAGTACATTTTAGCTTTTTTTAAAAATGACATTTTTAACTATATGTATAAAAAAAAATTGTTTCAAATGAATGACACTATATCTCATATAATGACACACCATGTGCACCATTGTTGGCCAAATTAAAAAATATTCAGTGAAAAATGACGTCATGGAAAATATTTGATATTCATTTATTCATTTATTGGATTACTCTGCTTCTCTGAATTTATATTTTATAATGTCATGAATTCCTTTTAAAAGTCTTAAGCTTTTAAAACTCACCGGCTACTTTATTAGGTACAACTTACTAGGACTGGGTTGGACCCCCTTTTACCTTTAGAACTGTCCTAATCCTTTGTGGCATAGATTCAACAAGGTACTGGAAATATTTCTTAGAGATTTTGGTCCATATTGACATGACAGAATCACAAAGTTTCTGCAGATTTGTCGGCTGCACATCAATGATGTGAATCTTCTGTTCCACCACATCCCAAAGGTGATCTATTGGAGGATTTGGTGACTGTGGAGGCCATTTGAGTACAGTGAACTCATCGTCATGTTCAAGAAACCAGTCTGAGATGAGTCACGCTTTATGATATGGTGCGTTATCCTGTGGAAGTAGCTATCAGAAGATGAGTACACTGTGGCCATGAAGGGTTGGACATGGTCAGCAACAATACTGAGGTAGACTGTGGAATTGACACAATGCTCAATTGTTACTAATGGGCCCAAATTGTGCCAAGAAAATATCCCCCACATCATTACACCAAACATTGACACCAAATTTTGACCCTACCATCCGAATGTCACAGCAGAAATCAAGACTCATCAGACCAGGGAACATTTTTCCAATCTTTTCTTGTCCAATTTTTTTGAGCCTGTGTGAATTGTATCCAGGGCCGGCGCATCCATAGAGGCGACCTAGGCGGCTGCCTAGGGCGGCAGTATAGAGAGGGGGGCATCCTCGACACCTCCCTTACTACCTCAGTTATGTCCGCCACACCTCCCTCACCACCCGCGTCCTCAGTTTTGTCCGCGACACCTCCCTCACCACCCGCGTCCTCAGATATATTCGTGCATAGACGACACCTCCATCAGCACCCGCGTGTCCTCAGTTATATCCGTGCATAGGGCGGCAGAATAGAGGTCCGCAACACCCGTGCGTCCTCCGTTATATCCGTGAATAGGGCGGCAGAATAGAGAGGCCGGCATCCACAACACCACCCTCCCTCCCTCAGCAGCCGCACGTCCTCAGTTATATCCGCGCATAGGGCGGCAGAATAGAGGTCCGCGACACCTCACTTCATTTTCATAACCGGTCACTTTCGTTTTCACATTGGGGTTGAGGGCGGCGTGACTGTCCTCTGCCTAGAGCGGTAGTTCAGCTTGCTCCGGCCCTAATTGTATCCTCAGTTGAGTACTTGGTGGCACCTGGTGCTGTCTTCTGCTGCTGTAGCCCATCCGCCACAAGGTTGGATGTGTTGTGGGTTCAGAGATGCTCTTCTGCATACCTTGATTGTGATGAGTGGTTTTTTAAATTACTGTTGTCTTTCTATCAATTGCAACCAGTCTGGCCATTCTCCTCTGATCTCTGGCATTTGTGCTTACAGAACTGCCGCTCACTGGATATTTTCTCTTTTTAGGACCATTCCTGAGTTGCTGCCATGTAACTGGCTGATTAGAAATGTGTTAACGAGCAGTTAGACAGGTGTACCTAATAAAGTGCTTGTGAGTGTATATATTACTCGGCTTCACAGACTTTACAGTTACATTTATGTACAGTATTTAAGTCAAGTACATTATGAGGAACTGTAATTAAATTACCTCAAATTAAAGGTAATTTCTTGGTTTACTTTAAGCAGAAAGGTTATTTAATTACAGTAATTAGTTACTTTGTAAGTAATTACACCCAACACTACACAGTTCAGTAAATAGAACAGAATACAGATCCCTTTTTGAACATTTCACATTACAGTACATTATATTGTATAATTGTTGATTAACTATGTATTTGCACTCTACTTAGACCTAAACTTTTTTCTGTTTGATTGTTTGATTGATGTAATACCAGACACCTTTTATAAAGCTGCTCTAGGCCAATAACTATTGTAAAAAGCTCTACACAAATTAACTTGAATTGAATTGAGTTTAATATCATGAGTGTGACTGTAGCTCTCTAGGATTTTTACCTGGGAGGAAGCAGTGTGGAGCGGGTCCCCTGTGGGCTGATCAGATAGATGGCCAGGTTTCCTCTGCGGTTGTAGGACAGTGTCAGCTGCGCTTGAACATGCTCTAATGAGCTCACAAAGTTGGCCATCCCAGTACACGCATCCACAGTCTTGTTGATGACCAAATAACTCCCGATATTCCTAAAACAGACAAATAGAATGATAAAAGAAAAGTGTTAAGAACTGACAGCTAAACACAATGAACCTTATGCTTCTACAAACATAGATTATGCATATACACATACACTTAAACGTACACTGAACATGCACACATAGACATTACCTATATACTATATAACTGCAGGTTAACTATGTTTATACGTATATATATATATATATATATATATATATATATATATATATATATATATATAAATAAAACTTTAGGTGTTAAAAGCTATTAGTAACTGGTTAATTAGTTAAAGTTATTAGCAACTAATAAAGATTATAGTAAGTAATAACCTTAAGTTTTCTGAGTTTAGGGATAGGCGATTTGGCCTAAAATCAAAATCTCGATTAATTGAAAATTTTAACTCGATTACGATTAATGAGTTATTTATTTATTCATTTATTTCCTTATAGTTTACTGACAGGTTTGTAATTAAATTAATTGTAATTAAAATTGAGATATTTGTGAATGAAGGGTGCATTACTTGATTTTAAAACAATTAAAGGAAACGCACATCATCTACTATCCATAATTATTTATTGAACATTAATATTGAAAAACTGAAAATTAAACACACATTGCCTAAAACTAACTTCTGTAAACAAATATTTTAATGTTAATAATAATTTCAATGTTATGGAAATGATGCTGTCTTAAGGCATCTCTGGCGCAGCTTCTAATCATCATCAATGTAGTGCAAAGTAAGGCACAAGAATGGGTTTATCACCTTACTTGACTAGAGATCAGATGTGGCTGCAAAAGTGGACACAGAAGTAGAAATCATCCTCAGGCTAGCTGATTTATACTTCTGTGTTGAGCGATCGGCGTGACCCCTACTTTGCGTTGCGCTCCACACTGCTCACTTTCATCAGCACTATCAAGCTGATCAATCACAGAGCTTGCGCTACGCGTTGTCTTGTTTTATTTATTTTTTATTTTTTTTGAGAGGTGCGAGTCATGCAACAGCTCAAAGTTTCATAACACAAAATTTCATAACACTCTTCCACCAGTCCTTACTCCTTATTTGCGTCTAATACCCCCAGTTTGTCACGGGGGCATGAATGAAATGTTCATGAGTGAAAGTTAAACTGCCGAACTGCAGTTTAAAATCACCCAAAATTACAGCAAACTCTTACATGAAAGCACTTCATGTAAACACCTTAATTATATAATTGTATATTAAGGCAAATAACTAGATTACAGATGTCCATGTAAGTGTAGTCAGTAGTGTCTTCGAAGTAAGTGAAAGATTCAGAAGGGCATCCTGCTGATTTGATTCAGAAGGGCACTTTTTTGTCAGACGGCTCACCGGTCAGGTGAAAGTGAAAGTCATCATAGCTTGCGTAGAAAAGGCCCCGCTCCCAACCCAACTTTGAGAATACATTAACGGCGATATTTTATTAATTGCCCAATAGGAGTCTCATGTTAACGCAGCACAATAATGCCGATAACGGCCTACCACTAGTTAAGGTACATTGGCACATTGCTATTTTGAGGAACTGAAATAGACCGCACCATTGACCAACTCAAAGCTGCTCTAAAGTCCAGCGCAGAGAGCGTGTTAGTTACGTGCCTACGCAGGTCCAAATGCTTACACATCATATAAGCAATACAGAAATATCTTTACATATGAAAAAATTTAAAGAATTACAATGTTACAATTTTTTTTTTTTTTTACATAAATACAAAAAATAAATAAATAAATTACCTCCAAGACTTCTTTACCTCGAGATGCTTGCATTATTATAATATTATTAGTTGAAGTGGCATTATTTATTATATGCATATTTATAATCGTTTTAAATAATTAAAGTTTTGATTTTTCCCCCTGTCGTTTTTTGGAGACATATGCATCACCATATGGGTCATAAGAATTGGACGTGTACGTGGATACAACTCTTATATCTTATATTTTTTTGACCACACTTTGTTAGTATTGTTCATTTATTCGTTTACTGGAAATTAGAACTGAATTTAGAAATAGTTTTGAAATAAATCTTTGCGCTTAAACAAAACTTTGATTCAGACTTTGATTGATTTATGCTCAAAACACACTCATAACTTATTCTTGACACTTCTTTGTACTGTTCGTCTTTGGCTTTTTTGTCCTCTTCTGCTGCCGTCAGTCTGTTTTTGTTTTATACTTTTCAAAATGTAATTAATATATGAAAGTGTGTTTTATGCTGTGCTTCTATTTTAGGTGTGACTTTTTAACATTCTGTAAGGGGTCTACAGATGAAAAATAGCCATTCTTGGCATAATTCTGGCACATTTTACAGTCATGTTTATTAATGTGCATTGACCCTGTAAACAAATAAACTGAACAAAAAAAATTTATAAATAAAATAATTCATCAAGAGAATAAGCACAACCCTGTTAGACCATGCGCCGGGGTGCAGATCGTATTTTTAAATCCTTAAAAAAAACAAAATTGAATTCGGACATGCCCTTAATGCTTTTGCACCATGCGCTTTAGACTTTGCGCCTAGACCGTTAAAAAAGAGCCCCCCTTGAGTCATTGATGGAAACACTGCATTATTCTTTTATGCAATATTCCGATTTTGTTCCTAAATTTATTTTGCATCTTTGGATGGAAACAAGGCAATTGAAAAACATGTTGAACTTTATAATCAAAGAGCACTAAAAGTGCACAGAAAACAATGACTCGCAATTTCAAAATAATACCTTTTCTTTTTCTGTATTTTAACTAGAAATTTTTGAATGATCGCTTATGATAACATCAGTAAAAACTAATATATTGTTCATCAGAAATCTTGAGCAAGGTTAAGTGTGCCAGCGATGACCGCTGAAAGAGACGGTAGGGCTTTTGGAAGTCTAAAACCCAATCCCGTAAGGAGCTTAAAGCGACCCGTCCCTGCTCACCAGAGGCATGGTTACTCTGGAAGAAGAGCTTAAATCAAGAGACACAACAACAGCCTACAGCCACCAACAACTCCATGAGGAATGAAGCGTACCAGGAGCTGTACTTCAACTCAGTGATGCTGCAAGTGAAAGAAAAAAAAAAAAGAAAGAAATGCATGGCAGAGGCGAAGCGAGGCAGCCATAATCACTTGGCTCTGTGATTTCTGCAACCGGCATGTTAAATTGGGCTTTGCTCCTCAAACCCCCTTGATCTTTCCGTAATGTCTGGTGAACCATAAAGGATGGGATAAAAAGAGGGTGCATTTTTAAAGGGACGAGATTGAAGGAGAAGCACTTTGAGGGTCCATATTGGCTTCCAGGATGTCTTGCGGTGATGGAAGTGTGACGAACGTGGACGTAACGAGCTTATCTGCAAGTCATTACTTCCTGTAAACATGCTCTGCAGGCAGCTGAGATCCCTCATGCGCTGAAGCATCACTCAAGATGTGTGCGGCTCTAAATTTAAATGTGATAGACCATCAAAAGTCGTGTTTTGCTCCTGCCTCGTTTTTTATTCCTGGTCCCTCTTGCACTCAGTGACCTTTTTTTAGCAGCACGTCATTTAAAATTTGATGGCAGTCGCGTGCACTACAAAACCTCAGCATGCCACATGTTAGTGAAGAATCAATTAGGGCTAAAGTTTAATTTAGGACCGAGGGTTCAGGTCACACCAAAACTAAAAGTCTGTTATTATTTAGTCGCCTTTATGTGGTTCCAAAGCTGTACGACTCACTCCCTCTTGTGGAACTCAAAAGACGTTTTGCAGAATGTTTGTACTGTACTATTCAAAAAAAACAACAACTAACAAATAACTTATCAAGGATGAATTAAATGATCAGGAAGTGATTTTGTTCTCTTAGACTCCTTGGATGGTGAATTTATTTTTATACTTTTATGTGATGTTTCTGTTTTGCACATAAATTTAAATCACATCTTTAGATGTAAACATATCTGTTGAAGGATGCAAAATATGTTGAGTTTTATAATCATCAATGAATACTAAAAACAAACTGAAAAAATAAATAGTATTTGTATAAAGTAAATTAAATTATCAGAAATAAATGACCAGGAAGTGACGATTTTGTTCTCTTTGACTCATTGGATAAAAACAGAGCATTTATTTTGAATACATTTATGCGATATCACTGTTTTGCACATTTTTGCCTTCAGAACAGCCTAAATCCTTCGTAGGATAGGTTCAATAAGGTACTGGAAATATTCCACAGAGATTTTGGTCTATATTGACATGATAGCATCACGCAGTTGCTGTAGATTTGTTGGCTGCGCATTCATGATACAAATCTCCCGTTCCACCACATCCCAAAGATGCTCTATTGGATTGAAATCTGGTGACTGTGGAGGCCATTAGAGTACAGTGAACTCATTGGCAGGTTCAAGAAACCAGTCTGAGTCTGATTCGCACTTTGTTATGGTGCGTTATCCTGCTGGAAGTAGCCATCAGAAGATGTGTACACTGTGGTCATAAAGGGATGGACATGGTCAGCAACAATACTCAGGTGGGCTGTGACGTTAACACAGTGCTCAATTGGTAGTAATGCGTCCAAAGTGTGCCAAGAAAATATCCCAAACACAATTACTCCACCACTAGCCTGAACGATTGATACAAGGCAGGATAGATCTATGCTTTCATGTTGTTGACGCCAAGTTCTTGCCCCAACCATCTTTGAGTGTTGTAGCAAAAATCAAGACTCAGAGCAGGCAACATTTTTGCAATCTTCTATTGTTCAATTTTGGTGAGCCAGTGCAAATTTTAGCCTTAGCCTCCTGTTCTTAGCTGACAGGAGTGGCACCTGGTGTGCTCTTCTGCTGCTTGTGCATCATCCGCCTGAAGGTTTGAAATGTTGAGAGTTCAGAGATGCTCTTCTGCATACCTCGGTTGTAACGAGTGGTTATTTGAGTTACTATTGTCTTTCTATCAGCTCAAACCAGTCTGGCCATTCTCCTCTGACCTCTGGCATCAACAAGGCATTTGCGCCCACAGAACTGCCGCTCACTGGATATTTTCTCTTTTTCGGACCATTCTCTGTAAACCCTAGAGATGATTGTGCTTGAAAATCATAGTAGATCAGCAGTTACTGAAATACTCAGACCAGCCCACTGTCACGTTTAAAGTCACCCTTTTTCCCTATTCTGATGCTCGGTTTGAACTGCAGCGGATCGTCTTGACCATGTCTACATGCCTAAATGCATTGAGTTGCTGCCATGTGATTGGCTGATTAGAAATTTGTGCAGTTGGACAGGTGTACCTAATAAAGTGGCCATCTTTAATAATGGAGTTTATATGTTTACATCTTTGTGTATTAACATTGGCAGTCTCTGCTCACGAAAAGGATTCATTATATAGAAAGCCACAGAATTGACATTCAGTCTAACATGGACGCATAAAATGACATGTAGTTGAACTAATCCCTTTAAAAGACTCATCAACTAAGGAGTGTTTTAACCTACCTGGGCTCAGACACCAGGGAAAGGACACATTTATGCTGAGGTCCCACATTTGTCCAGTTCTTTGCTAAGGCTACAATGGCCCCAGCGTCCAGCAGACCATATCCATAAGAATGGCTTACTGTAGGAGAAAAAAAAAAATCAATACTGTTGAAAGTAACAATAGAGGCACTTTTAAAAGACTGACATAATAAGAGCTGAATTAATGAGGTTGAGATCTTTAAGAGATCCGGAGCCGTTTGCTGATTGGTGCGTCCAACGATAACACTATCGATCGCGCCACAAAACGTTCAAGTATCTGAGAAGTGGAAAGAAAAAGCAGACGGAGGGAAAAAAAAGAATGGAGCTGTGAAATGATCGAGATGGGTTTTTACCTCGCCGACCCACTCCATTTATCTTCCAGTCATTGGTGGTGAGGTGGGCAGGGTTGGACGTCCTCACAACCAGATGCTGCATGTCCCTCCAGGTTAGATTTTTACTATGGAGGAAAGAAAAAAAAGCGTCAGTGGCCTTCAAATGTGAGGAACAAAACACAAAAACCGCTCGCATGCTTCACGGCTTTCCAAGATAATCTCTCTTGCCCTTTAATAAAGGTCGCGGATGGCTACAGGTAGAGTCATAAAGGTTATGGTGTTGCTGGAGAATTAATTTAGGAAGATACAAATGAAAATGCAGCTCAATGCATGCGTTTGCTCCGAATGAGAATCTGAAGGTTAACTCTAGTCTAGGGTTGTCTTTTTAGAAAGCCTCGGGTGACTCAAAAAGCGCTGATAAAGAAAGATGACCTCGCTTCAGAACAGGACAGGACAGACCGAGCTCTGGACGACTTACTTGGCCTCCAGGGCGAGGGCGATGATTCCTGCTGCCAGAGGGGCTGAAGCCGAGGTGCCGGTGTGGGAGTCTGTGCACTTCTGCCTGAGGTCTGTAGTGACCTGAAAGCACAAGTAGAGTTGGATGTTTCACATTGCTCATGATATTAGAGGAATGATCACATTATTGTAATAAAATCACTTGAAACTTAAATCAGCTTTGTTGAATTTAGATAAATAATTAGATATTAAGGCCCAATCCCAATTCTCTTTTTTTAACCGTTCCTCATGGCCCTTGAAACGGAGTGTGAAGAGCTTCAAATTTACTCTGAGGAAATGGGACAGCACTAAAACACCATCACCACCTCGTCAAGACCAACGATGAAACTGCTGTAGTTATTCCAGTTACATTTATCTTCAGGAAATCACCAAAGGGAATGATATCATGTTATCATAAAGATATAATGTGGCAATAAGCTCATAACTGTACTGTGAATATACACCGTGGCGATATTCATCTGCGTAAACACAAGAAAGCAACATTAGCGCTGTACCAGACACTGTAAAAAGCTCATTAACAGCCACTGGGCTTTTCTGACAGGGTATTCCAGTGTCATCGAGTGACAGATGTGAAGGTATGTTGTGGGACTACTATACAGGAGTTTGATATTATGGATTATAGATAGCCAAATTTAGCATTTTTTTTTTACAATAAAAAAAAAAAGTATAACTATAAAACACGAACGCTGTTATGAATATATTAAAACATGCTTGCTTATAAAAATTCTTAATAATGGCAAAAAAAAAAAAAACTCATTTGTGTATCTCCTGACTCGCGTGTGCAGCAATGTTGTCATTGTAGCTGGTGTACAAATGTTCATACTCCTTGATTTCAAATGTGGTCCTGGAAAATTTCTGTTTCGAGGGCTATGTAGCGCTTCAGGAGTAGAATTGGGATTGGGCCTAGGAAAAGCTGTCGTTTTCACATCAAAATTTTAACTTTTAACTTAATTGTTTCAGTATGTCAGATGAAATATTTACAAGGGGAAAGCTCAGTTTAAAGGACAGTTCACGCAACAATAACATTATCGCATCATTTACTCTCCCGCATGTGGTTTTAGACCTGTATGAAGAATGCTGGTTTGCTGACACCCATTGACTTTTATAGTAGGGGAAAAAACACTATGGAAGTCAATGGATGCCAACTACTAGCATAGTGTTGTCACAATCCTGCAATTCAGTACTGAAATTTAAAAAAAAAAAACGTCCATTTCCTGTTAACATTTGAGTGCTGTTGAGTGTGTTCTTGAACAGCACTGATTTGCAATTGTGTTCTAGTGCTCAACAGAAATGACCATGAAGGCCACAATTCATCAACGGATCACTCGTATGTCAGCTAATACAGTAGATAAACCAGGTGATTGACATGAATTTGAAACGCTCCAGTGTCCCTGTATCTGTAGCCATGCAACCACCTGTCCACTCGATCCCATTCCCTCTCATCTCTTGCAAGCCATCTCTCCTGCAGTCATACCAACACTGACTCACATAATTAACACATCTCTTGACTCTGGTTTATTCCCCACTACATTTAAGCAGGCTAGGGTAACCCCACTGCTAAAGAAACCCAACCTGGACCATACGCTACTTGAAAACTACAGACCAGTATCCCTGCTTCCATTCATGGCCAAGATTCTGGAGAAAGTAGTGTTCAATCAAGTCCTGGACTTTCTTACTCAAAACAATCTCATGGACAACAAGCAATCCGGCTTTAAGAAAGGCCACTCAACTGAGACTGCCCTGCTCTCGGTCGTGGAGGATCTCAGACTGGCTAAAGCAGACTCTAAATCATCAGTCCTCATTTTGCTGGACTTGTCAGCTGCTTTTGACACTGTCAACCACCAGATCCTGCTATCTACGCTTGAGTCACTGGGCGTTGCGGGCACTGTTATACAATGGTTCAGATCTTACCTCTCTGACAGGTCATTCAGGGTGTCTTGGAGGGGAGAGGTGTCCAACCTACAGCATCTAAACACTGGGGTACCTCAAGGCTCTGTTCTTGAGCCACTTCTCTTCTCCATCTACACATCATCTCTAGGACCAGTCATCCAGAGACATGGATTCTCCTACCACTGCTATGCTGATGATACCCAGCTATACCTCTCTTTTCATCCTGATGATCCCTCGGTTCCAGCTCGTATCTCAGCCTGCCTGTTGGATATTTCACACTGGATGAAAGATCATCATCTTCAGCTGAACCTCGCAAAAACGGAAATGCTTGTAGTTTCTGCCAACCCGACTCTACACCATAACTTTTCAATCCAGATGGATGGGGCAACCATTACTGCATCCAAAATGGTGAAAAGCCTTGGAGTAACAATTGATGACCAACTAAACTTCTCTGACCACATTTCTAGAACTGCTCGATCGTGCAGATTTGCACTCTATAACATCAGAAAGATCCGACCCTTCTTATCTGAACATGCAGCTCAACTCCTTGTTCAAGCTCTTGTTCTCTCCAAACTGGATTACTGCAACTCTCTACTAGCTGGGCTTCCAGCTAACTCTATCAAGCCTCTTCAACTGCTCCAGAATGCAGCAGCACGAGTTGTCTTCAATGAACCTAAACGAGCACATGTCACTCCGCTGCTAGTCCGTTTGCACTGGCTGCCAGTTGCTGCTCGCATCAAATTCAAAACTCTGATGTTTGCCTACAAAGTGACTTCTGGCCTAGCACCTTCTTATCTGCACTCACTTCTGCAGATCTATGTGCCCTCCAGAAACTTGCGTTCTGTGAATGAACGTCGCCTCGTGGTTCCATCCCAAAGAGGGAAAAAATCACTTTCGCGAACGCTCACGCTCAATCTGCCCAGTTGGTGGAATGAACTCCCTAACTGCATCAGAACAGCAGAGTCACTCGCTATTTTCAAGAAACGACTAAAAACTCAACTATTTAGTCTCCACTTCACTTCCTAATCTGCAATTGCCTCTTTGAATATCACACTAACTAACTGTACAAAAAAAAAAAAAAAAAAAACTACTAACACTTCCCTTCTTAGACTTTACAGACCTGAAACTTGCCTTTAGTACTTATTCATTGTTGCTCTTAGTTGTGTAAATTGCTTCCTTGTCCTCATTTGTAAGTCGCTTTGGATAAAAGCGTCTGCTAAATGACTAAATGTAAATGTAAATGTAAAATGGTTAAACTCAGTAAACAGTGGTGAGTTTGTTGAACTGAAGACCTTCACGGCCATTTCTGTTGAGCATGTGAACACAATGGCAAATCAGCGCTGTTTAAGAACGAGCTGAACAGCACTCAAATGTTAACAGGAAATAGATGTTTTTTTTTTTTTTCAGTATCAATTGGTACCGAAATCCAGTATTTTACTGGAATACTATGGAATACTATGGAAGTCAATGGTTACAGGTTTCCAGCTTTCTTTAAAACATTATTTTGTGTTCAACAGAGGAAAAAAGTTTGAACAAGTCAAAGCTGAGCAAAACGATGACAGATTTCATTTATGGAAGTCTATCCCTAAATTGTACTTTTTTAAAAAATTAACTTAACACCTTATTTTCAATCAAGGCAGCTGAGATTAACTACCGATGAAGTGTTGATAATTAAAAATAGCTGTAAGAAATATCATGTCTGCAGGCTGCAGGCTTAGAGTGCTAATTGATTCACATCAAATATAGTCATTTGGTCAGCTTTAGGTTCTGAGGTTTGAAGTCCTAAATTGACAGTATTTTTATTTTTCATGCAATAAGTAATGAGTAAATGATGAGTAACTTTATTGTGCAAAAGTCAATAGGAGCACCAGAAGAGCTTGTCTTGTCAAATCTTGTCGTCAATCCAAGTTGTAAGAGCAACAAATATTAACTTGACTTCTAGTTGATCATTTAAAAAAGTGACAGAAGGTAGATTTTTCTGATGAATCATCTGCTGAACTGCATCACAACCAACACAAATACTGCAGAAGACCTATTGTAACCCGCATGGATGCACGATTCTCACAGAAATCAGTTTTGGTGAAGGAAACATCATCGTTTAGGGGTACATTCAGTTTGGGGGTGTGCGAGAGATCAGCAGAGTGGATGGCAACATCAACAGCCTGAGGTATCAAGACATTTGAGCTGCCCATTACATTACAAACCACAAGAGAGGGCGAATTCTTCAGCAGGATAGCGCTCCTTATCATACTTCAGCCTCCACATCAAAGTTCCTGAAAGCAAAGAAGGTCAAGGTGCTCCAGAAATGGCCAGCCCAATCACCAGACATGAACATTATTGAGCATGTCTGGGGTAAGATGAAGGAGGAGGCATTGAAGATGAATCCAAATAATCTTGATGAACTCTGAGAGTCCTGCAAGAATGCTTTCTTTGCCATTCCAGATGACTTTATTAATAAGTTATTCGAGTCATAGCAGAGATGTATGGATGCAGTCCTCCAAGCTCATGGGAGTCATACACAATTTTCATTATTTTTCCACTGCAGCATGACTTTATATTCTAAACAATACCTTATTTTCAGAGACCTTAATTAGACCTTACTGTCCTAATTAAATAATTAAAAATCAAGCCATGATCATATTTTATTAGAGTAAAATAAATGTAATCTAAAGGCATTTGCCTTTCAGATAAGCCACTTCTGATAATAATTGATCAACTAGAAGTTGTTATTTGTTGTTTCAAAAACTTTGATAGGCAGCAAGACTTTTGTCAGGTAGTGTAGACCTACACAGAACTTCCGTTTGCAGCAGATCGCCAACCACAGTCGCTGCTAGTGTGAATGAGGGAGAAGAGACTGATCTTCTTTTAAAATAAATATCTTCATTTATCAGTGTTAATACTATTAATTATTAAAATTCTATTAAAATGATTAATAATTATTAAAATGCTATTATCGCTTTTTATTAATAACATTTATAATAAATAATTCAAATAAAACCCATTTTATACGCCACCAGTCCTGATCTATTCATGCTACAAATATGACTGACACCTCAAATCATGCAAGTTGTTGAGAAGCGGTCTGCTATTACTTTCCAAACTGATATGATTTACAGTTTTGCCCGGTGAACAAATTGGGTGTAAAAAAAAAAATCCAACAGACTATGCACCACAATTCCATACTGACTTGGGAATTGGAGCTTCTTTCCACTTGGGTCAAAAAAAGCAACCACCCAGAACACCCTAGCAACAGAATATCAATGCCTTAGCAACAACTTGTGCATCAAGGAGCAGCCTTCAAATATCCCTCAGAAAAAAAATGTAAACACTCTATAAAACCTGCTGTTAATCTCCTGCCTGTTAGGCGGTTCATTTAAATGCGGGTATAAAAGAAGGAAAGCCCATCATCTTTTAGCCCCGGAGGTCAGACCGACAGAGCAAAGACAATGCTAGACAAATGCAAACATAAAAGGCTTGACGGGTGACACTTAAAAAGTCAGGCATGGTAGGATGTGCACTGACTGCGACAGGTCTCCTTGTGTGAGACTAATTGCTAAAACTGGCAGACAGGCTGAATGACAGGAGCGATGACAGGCCATTTCGGCAATTGCACACTTAAGAATGGATCCTGGGAGACCACAGGAGAGGGAAATGGCCTGGTGGAGTCTGCTGCAGGGAGGGGGGAACAGCAGGTTATCAGGCTGCTGTCCTTTAAAAAAAAGCACACCACTATTGTAAACACTGGTGTCTGTGTCTTCTTGAATGCGGGACAATGGATGACTCAGTCAGGCACAGGCGGTTAGAGGAACAATGCTTGGGTGTGCGCCTGGGACGGCACTGAGCCGGGTGAAGAAACAAATACCGAATGACACAAAAGAAAAATAAATGTCACGCTATGACAGAGAGAGGTTGTTGTTTTGAATCACAGGGATGTGTGTGTGTGTGTGTGTGTGTGTGTGTGTGTGTGTGTGTGTGTGTGTGTGTGTGTGTTTTTGAAAATGGAGTTAAACATTTTATTAAGGTTGTTTGCCCAGACAAATCTCATCAGCATTGCACCAGAGTGTTGTTGTGGTTGCTAAAGCATTTTTGAGTGCTTCTGTTCTGGGGTCAATAAAAAAGTCAAGAAAATGTACTTTTATTTACATCTTACTTCATCACACTTTACCCAAAACTGAAGATTCTCTCATCATTTACTTTCCCTTTAATTGTTCCAAACCCAAATGTCTTTCTTCTGTTGAACACAAAAGAAGATATTTTGAAAAATGCTGGAAACCTGTGACCTTTAACTGCCATAGTATTGGTTCATCCTACTATGGAAGTCAATGGTTAAAGGGCGTTGTGTCAAAATATCATCTTTAATGTTCAACAGAAGAAAGAAACAATAGAGCAGGGGTGCCCAAACTCGGTCCTGGAGGGCCGGTGCCGTGCATAGTTTAGATCCAACCCAGATCAGACACACCTGGGCAAGCTATACAAGTAGGCTTGTTAGAAATGTCCTGGCAGGTGTGTTGAGGCAAGATGGAGCTAAACAATGCAGGACACCGGTGTTCAGGACCAAGTTTGGGCACCCCTGCACTAGAGGGACAGTAAATATTGAGTCATTTTTCATTTTTGGGTGAACTGTATCCCTTTACCTCTTTCACTATCAGCGTTAGTTTTTTTTTTTTTTTTAGTTGCCAGTCACTGGCAGCATTTTGTATGATTTTAACTGAGTTTTACAGCTTTCAGAATACTTTCTGCTACAAATATATGAGCATATTATGTATCAAAATAAACAACAAAGCCTCTTTTAAGCTTTTAAACTTTTTAGTCTATCCCACATGTTTTATCACTTGATTGATTTCTTAAAAAATCTAAATTGACAAAAAAACTAATCATATATCATTATATATATTTATATATATATATATATATATATATATATATATATATATATATATATATGCTCCTCTGTCTGTGTGTGCATGTACTGTATGTATAAAACACATACACACATATAACTTGTATGTCATTGATCATTCTGCTGTGGTAAACTCTGATAAAGAAGGGAAAAAGCCAAAGGAAAGGAGTGTGAAATCGGCAGGTTTTCAGGCTATCCTCAATACATCTAGAAGATTCTGTGTATAAAGTAATCTCAATTGTGTCTAAAGCACTTCTTTATCCCAATGGGTTTTAAAATATCCAAAACATGAGGGATCAGAGTCCATCAACATCTGCCTGTTTAGCTGGACACCTCTTCATTTCTTAACATTTGATCTGATCTACATGCATGTTCTTTTTTAAATATATGATCTACACTTTCTATTTCCAACATAGAAGACCTAGAAATCCCATAACTCATTTAGGACAAGCTCTAGGGTTTCTTAACATAATATACCTAAAACATGGATTTCCGTAAAAACTTGTCCATAGCAGGGAGATGTTGTCTCTTAATTTAAAGAGATGTTTAATCAATAAACAGGAAAAAGTACAAATTAAGAGGATGTGTGGTATTCAGAGAAAATATATATTTGCTCAAAATCATGATTGCAATGATTGAATTTACATTTTATTTTCATCTATTTCCATCAACGATATTGCAACATTAATATCACAATTATTGCATGATGATAATGTTTTCATCTCGACATCAGGGGAAAATAACTTGTGTTCTTTAAAAACAAAGAAAAAAACAAAAACCAATAAACCTTCCCACTTCATACTACAGGTAGTCATGATGAAAATTGTGTACGAACTGCTTTAGAAATACAGAATTGGATGGTATATGAAGTATAATTTAAATACTGGATGGAAGTCTATAGCATGAACCAACATACAGTGGGGAAAATAAGTATTAAACACATCACCATTTTTCTAAGAAAACATACATCTAAACGTGGCGTTGCCTTTTAAATTTTCCTGGATGTTGATAGTAACAAAACCAATTAGTTTCCAAATCAAGTTATGTATAATCAAATGAAATGGCACAGGGTGAACACATGAAGAAAGGAAGGTTTAGAAAGGTGGTGAAAGCCCAGACAGCAGCTGAAGTCTCTCAGTAGTTCTTCAGCAACCCTCTGCTCTTCCTTATTGTAAATGAATATTAGCTGCTTCAGTCCAACATCTAAATTAGCAGGAGGATGAAGATGAAACCAGGGTGGACATTTCAGCAAGACACTGATCCAAAACAGAGCCAAGGAAACTCTTAAATGCTTTCAGGGTAAGAAAATCAAGCTGTAGAATGGCCCAGCCAATCACCTGATTTGAATCCAATAGAAAACACAAAGTAAAGATCAAGTTTCATAGACAAGACCAACAGAACTCTGTTAAGTCTTTTTTGATTTGTTGACAAACACAAAGATTTAACCGAGCCATGCATGAAAGGTTACGCTTTTTGAAGCTTCAAGCACTTGAAGGGCCACAATGAAGAAAAACATTTCCAGTATCTTCCACCCTCACTAGTGACCACAACACTCATTGACAGCCAAAAAGCTTAGAAGAACTTTAAAGCCGTTGCAGTATTTTTTCCATGAATTGGCTTGGCAGTTTATCTTCTGATCTCCTTTATTTTTGGAATCGATTCGCTACGCCACTTCTTCAATTAAAGGATAACTGTTGCTGATTTTCTGGAGGCGGAAAGAGAGAGAGAGAGAAAGAGGGACTCACAATCTGTTTCTCATTGACGCCTCCGCTGCTGTAGGTTGAGGCGAGGGTGGATGAGCAGGCCTCGCTGTACCAGGGCACGTTGCCGTTTTGCGTACTGCTGCTGATGGACAGAGTGTAGATGCTATTGGTGTAGCCGTCGCAATTGCAGCTGTCCTTCATGCGGCCACCGTTCCCCGAAGCCCACACAAAGATGGAGCCCCGTCCACCACGGCCCTAAAATTACAGGAGGAAAAGAAACATTCTTGTTTTAAATATGAGCAAAATCTGATTTTCCAGAATGCACTAATCCTGGCCCTAAACTGACCCACAGAGACAAAAGACGCAGCAGAAACATTTCAGTTACTCAATGTACATGATCCCTGTGATGATGAGCTGTGATGTTGTGAAATCGGGTTGACATCAGAACCCAAGAATAGGCCAATGACCAACATACAAACTAAAATGAACCAAATGTCAACGCTAATGTTCCAGCTCGAAGTTGTGTGGACGTTACTACTATGACGTCTATCAGACATTGGATTTGTCAGTATTTAACATCAATACGACGTTAGTTTAAGATGTTGGCTCGATGTTTGATTTTGTCAATTTCCAACACAATCAATCAAATATCAACGTCATTTGACGTTATTATTGGACATCAAAATAAAGTTGTCTTTTTTTTCTATTTATTTTTTTATTAGAATATGCAAAAATCATACAAATACAAGAAACCATCAACAAATAACAAATACAAAGCAACAAAACAAAAACAACAACAATATAGTCAGGTACTGGTATGTGCGTAAGTGTGCGTGTGTGCTTAAATGCTGGATAAACATTGAACTTTGGGTCAGCTGACGTCACGACCTAAATCTAATCTAGTATTAATGTTGTGTGCCTGCTGGGATGCAAATAAAGGATATTGTCAAATTATGCTTAAAAGTTTCCCATTCACGGACAAATGCCAAATTCTTCATTCAATTCAAGTTTCATTGACTCAAAAGCTAATTTCCATGACCTACAATGAATTTTGCAAAAAAACCTGCAATGGTGCTTGACATAATATTAAAGAGCAATAATGTACAATTTACCTCAGATTTGACATTTGTTTCAAAATCTCTCTCTTCCAGTTAATACGGTTCGTTTGGTATATGTAAAACCCGCAATTGTGCTCAGATTTGTGCCATTGGCCCGAGATCTCCTGAATGAGCTGGTATTGGCTTGATTGTAACGAACTCTGAAGTGGATCGATTGTAGTAAGAAAGCAAAACGATCCAACAAACTAGGTTAAATCACACTGTATTATGGTTATGTAATAGCCATATACTGTGTGTGTGTGTGTGTGTGTGTGTGTGTGTGTGTGTGTGTGTGTGTGTGTGTGTGTGTGTGTGTGTATATATATATATATATATATATATATATATATATATATATATATATATATATACATACATATATACATATATATATATATATATATATATACATACATATATACATATATATATATATATATATATACATATATACATATATACACACACATGCAGCTGTATATGAAAAGATAATTTTGGGTAGGACGGGATGTCATTCATACCAGTGGATGTGCGGTTCCTGTCGAATATGACAGTGAAAGCATGCTGAAATATTACAGAGTGCTGTTTATTCGTAAGGAAAATTGACAGAAATCATCATCTGATGGTTTTTCCATATGTTAATCTTATAATATTTTATATTAGACCTATTGCTTTGTTCATTTCCGCACTGACACCTCGAAAGAAAGATCAACATTGATCTGCTTCATGATCTGACTGCAGTCTTAGTTCATCTGTTATTTCTCTTTAAAATTTAAGCCTATAATGCAGTGATTCTCAAACTTTTTTTTATCAAGTACCAGCTCAAAAAAAAAAAAAAAGTCTCTTCAAGTACCACAATAATAACCAGTATTAAAATACATAGCGAAGTAGGCCCAGTAAAGCAGCAACAGCTCTGCATAGTTTAAAAATGTGGCAGATTAACTACTATTATTAAGAATTTGTTTAATTATCAGCCACTTTAAACATTATAAATAGTTTGAACATTAACACTGTACTATGCTTATATGTAAAAAGACAAACAAAGAAAATAAAACCTTAATATTTAAATTAACATGTGCTTTTATAAGTTCATTAAAAATGGTAGGCTACTGTTCTTAAAAGGTAAAAAAAACTGCTGTACTTAAATGTAAAAGTGTTAACCCAGTGCAACTTCCCAGACTACAGCACGGTATTTTATGAATGATAAATGATTGTTTTGTCAGTATTAATGTGTATATCAATGTCTGAAACTTAATAATAAGAAGACATCTGTAGTATGTGCCAGTGCAGAATGATGATGCATGTTCAAAAAAGGCTGCTATGCATGTTATGCTGCATGAATTCCAGCAAAACTCTGCAGTCAGATCTCCTTCGAAAAAATTTCACGTACAAAAGTGGAACAAATTGGAAAAGATCAGATTCCATGCAATCTGTGCCGTTCACACGGTCATCACAAAAACACATTTTATTCAGATATAAACAAAAAAATAACTAAATAAAAAATCTGATCTGGGCCATATTTGTCTGCAGTTTGAATGTAGCCTAAGTGCTTGCATTTCTCTTCATGCAGTCTAATGCTAAAAGCCAGATGCGAGCGCAGCGCTGCCAAGTCTGAGACGGGAGGATTACCGGTGACAATACCCAAAACAACTGGATAATATTTGTGATGAGTGGGATTTGAAAGAGAGGGTCTCCCAGAAAGGATGTTCAAAGTGTCACGGACTATTGAAGCGATATCGTGGTTTGGACCAGATGCTTTTAAAAGGACCTTGTGGGACGACGCTAATGTTCTCAAGTCATTTATCATGCATGTTTATTTTCAGGCGCAAATGAAAGACACAAACAGCGCTGGTCTTTTTCTTTGCGGTCATATGAAGCGCAGTAATGCAAACTGTCAGGGCCGATAATGAGCTCGTGAAAAATGCACGCAGCACATTAACGAGGCATGTTTCAATAGCCGTATGACTTTCATTTCAGCATGTTGCCAGCAGCGCAAATAATCTGATTCAGATGCTGTTTGCTCATTATCTTTGATCGCCGCTGCTCTTTATACTGTACCTTACAATTGCAACAATGCACTAAATAAAAAAAGTCTGCAGGAGAAAAATAGCGTGCTGAGAAAGTCAAAGTTTGGCTCTGTCTTGGGGTTTACGGCGCACACCTGCTTGATTGTGGCCATTTATTTACACAGAACTGAGCTCCATTTGCATTGGCCTTCTCCACGCAACATGGATCCTGTTTCCCCAAACAAATCTGCTGGCACACGCTAAACACTCATGGTTTGGACGTTAGAAACAATGACTATAAATTGTGGATAATAATGGACGGCAGTGGAAAACACCAGGCTTTTTCCTTTTGCCCTTGTGCCACTTATTTATATGAAAAGAGAACTTTGTATTGTGTCTGTACTTTTAAAAGAACAGCAGATCTGATTTAATTCAGTCATGTTAATGTGATTTGTATATTTGGAAATGATTCTGCATAATGCATCTCTTGTCTGTGGCATATAAATGTCATTGGAGTATTAAAATGATTGCTAAAAATTGACTTCAAACTTGATGTTTACAGCAAAATCACTAATAGATAGCTCAGAAAATTATCAAACATGAAGACTATCAAACATTGCTACAAACTTATCACTAGTTTTACCCTACTTGGTTAACATTGCAAATCTCAAATGGACTCTACGTATTAGTTTAGACCAGAGACAACCAAACTAGGGCCTGGGGGCCAAAGCTGGCCAATGGTAACCTCTAATTGGGCCACCCAGAACAAAATGATGATGATGATGATGATGATGATGATAGAGAAGTGGTTGGAGGAAATGTCAGAGATTGTCATTTCTTATTTAACAAAACCTTGGTGAAACTTTAGGTCACAATTCATGATATTAACAAACCATTAACTAACACTACTAGCTTAATAAACCACTAATTAGCTCTTTATGAATTGTTTTTGGGTAGGATTGGGGATGATAAGATCATACTTTATAACTAATAACAAACAGTTCATATCTTAAGTTGGCAGGTAATAAGCCAGTAGTTAAAAGCATGAATAGTGACCTAAACTAAAGTGTTATCAAAACCTTTTGTTTGTTGCATTGTTGAGTACAAACAAAGCAAACTAAACTTAATTGTCGTAAACTAATACATTTTTTGTAAATCACAAATACTCTCAGTCTCATCTGAGCAATAGAGGAAATTGCGCAAGACATCGGTGAGCAAACCAAGGCAAAGGCAGGTGCAGCTTGACTAGTGTATTTCTATTTAGTAATAAACTGCACTGTGAGAATGTTCTGCATTCGTTTATATGATTTAAAGTAATGTTTTCTAATTATTTTTAAATGTTATAAAATAAGTTAGGAAATTACCTCAGCAACTTTAATGCAATACAGTTTGGTACATTGTTTTTCCATTTAATTCCTCTTTATTTCTATAGCACTTTTAGTAGAAAATTAAAATTATTATGCAACATCACCATGGCAAAGACAAAAGAAATCAGTTATTAAAACTATTATGCATAAAAATGGTTTAATAATATCGTCTATCCATTAAGCAAGACTTTAAAAAAATAGAAAACATTTTTTTTTTTAGCATTAAGTATTGCTTGTGATTCATATCAGCCCTGAAATGTAACCACACAGTGGGTCTAGCATACCAAATCTCCTGCTAGCGTTTTCCCCATAAGGTCTGCTCCTATAAAATCCATCCACGACACACTGCGGTAGGTAGGAAGTGCCTTGGCAAGGCTCTCCACCATTGTCCTCCCTCTTTGGGCCATGGCCAGATTCAGGAAACCTCAGCGCATGTTCATGTGCGAGTGAAGGGCTGAAACTAATGCCGCTCCATGATAGCAGTTTAGCTCAAATGGCGTTAAGTAATTAGGAATTAAGAATGTCAATACTGTTCACGCTCTGGAAAATCCACATGAAGACGTCTCGCTGAAAGATTGCCATTTAATGTGACATTTAAATTAAACAAACTTCACTGTGACAAGTTAGCACTTTCATGACTCGAGGCTCTCTTAAATGAAGTGTGCCGAAATCAAACACTGAGCATCTTCCTCTGACATCACCGACTTCAAAGCAAATCCACTTAATTCAATTGAAGCGCACATTTATGCCCTCTGAAATGCCGCTGCTGGTAAAAGTGTTGAGGTTAAGAGGCGAATTCAGCCACAGATTGGGCAGTTTCAGCACAGGAATATCAATGAAAACACGTCTACTGTTTGTGGCACGGAGCAATTGATGTAGATAATGGCAGGAAACAGCAAAAATAGCCCATGAGTCACAGAAGCAAATATAGATGGCATAGAAAACTGGACCTCTTTCATTGCTCTTTATGTAGACGTTCAAGTAAATAAAAACAAATAAATTAATTATAAAAATCCTCTGTATTTAGGGAAATGTGTAGGCTTTATACTGGTTTCTTGGCATCAATGCCAAATCAAAACCTCAGGCAATAATTAAACAACCTCAAATGACTAACGATTCTACTCGAAAGATTCATTGTTTATAATAAATGTATGATTATCACATTACCCTCCTGGGAAATTGTAATTTATTTTCAATCATTTACTGAGTCCTGTATAATAGAGTCAAGATTTTATTGCATTTTAAACCAAATAGTTTTAATAAGTAAGTAATTTCGTTTTTAGCATGGTGGCTAAATGAGTAGCACTGTCGCATGACAGCAAGACGGTTGCTGGTTCAAGTCCCGAACTGGGTCAGTTGGTATTTCTGTGTAGAGTTTGCATGTTCTCCCTGTATTCGCGTAGGTTTCCTCCAGGTGCTACGGTTTCCCTCACAGTCCGAAGACATTTTTCAGAAGAGGCTGCACTATGGCATGTTTCAGTTGTGAAGGCACACCTCAAGAAACAAGACTCTTATTTAGAGCTGTGCGATAAATCAAAATTGAATCGCAATCGCAATTCAAAACATTGCGATTAAATAATTGCAAGAGGCTGTGATATGAAATATATATGTATTATTTAATTTCTCCTGCGCAGAGCAAATGTGTGACAACAGGTGTCCTGACATTTTATCCTACCCATCAGATTATGCTACTAACACTGTATTTGAATGGTTCTGAGGTTGCGGTTAGGTAGGCAATATTACAGCTTCATATTACACTAATATACATTAAAATTTACACTGGTAGCAAAAATGGATGGGTAGCATATTGAGTCATCAAAATATGCCACCTACTTTTTGAATGGACAATTTGACAAGTTAGGACGAATTGACAGAGCTTACTAGCCAATTGAGTGAGCACACTTTCATTCTGCCCAATCAGATTTGTGCAACTATGAACTACAGCCATAATAAAAAACAAACAAACAAGCCGCTGACAAGTGGGAATATGGCATCTGCTGCTTCAGAAGCATTAATAGACGAATTAATATCAAAGAAAACCAGCATTTGTAATGTGGGAATATTTTGCTTTCAAAGTCACAGACACCAAACAAAAGCAGGTCATTTTTAAGAGCTGTCACAGAATTGTTCCCACGGCTTACAGATTATTGAGCTGAAACTTGACTACAAGATTAAATTGGAAATCCAAATCGCAATATCTGTCAAAATAAATAAATAAATAAAAATGAAAAACCACAATTAGATATTTTCCTCAAACCGCACAGCCCTACTCTTATTAATAATGGCTAATAATCTCAATGGTGACTTAAAAAAACTTTGAAGGGAAAATATCCAATGGACAGCTGCTGAGTTTTAACCAGCCTACTGCATCAGTCAGAGATAAGAGAGACAGGTTTGAAACTAACTATGTGTAACTAAGTGCAGCTGTTATTTAGTTATTCCAATGAGTTATTACGGATAACATCCAGATAAGAGGGAGGGTTCTCTAGCATTGTTAGATGTTGATCATTAATGTACAAATGTTTAAACGGATCAATAGAAGAGCCCCTATCAATGAAACCGTCAGAAGACAATAGATGAGTTGCTTATTTCGTGGGTAAAAGTGCTCTCAAAAGTGATTGCTTTATGGTCTGAAAATCCCATATCATCTAATGCAATATTGCAGACTGATAAACCGTATGACAAAACACAACCCAACGTGTGCCCATGGTTTTGAGTGGGCCCCTGCACATGCTGTCAAATTAAAAGAGCCAATGAGATTCAAGAAATCGTTTGGGCAGCAAACATGACTATTAAAATCCTTCAAAATTCAAATGTTATCATTTCTTGGTAAAAGACTGCTCAACAAGTCCCCAGACTGTTTAATAAAGTCTTTAGTAGACCTGGGAGGACGATAGATTAATGCACACAGGATGCTCTTATCTGAAACATTTGTAACTCAAAGCTGGAGAAAGTATAAACATGCAGATGCAGGAAATCAAATACATTTTTTTAAATTGTTGCAAGACTTCACCCTCTGCCAGAATGCCTCGGATTATAAAATAAGTTTGACTGATTTCTTTTCTCTTTGCCACACGTTTTCGGCTTAACGTAAAATTTAAAGGCTTAACTACGTTTAATAACAAGGTTAATCTAATTGAAATGAGTCTTTCTCCAGAAAAAAAGGAAGAAAAAATATATAAGGAAATACTTTGAAAGGTTTCCTTGCTCTGTTAAAAATCACATGAGAAATATTTTTAAAAAATTAATTTCTGTGTGCAAATACAAACTGATTAGATCAGTATTTACTGATTGAATTGCATAAAATGCAATGCCTTTGATGCATTTACCTAATTTAATATGTAAAAACATTAACAATTTGATACATTTAATTAAATTGCACACATGATCCAGCTTGATGAACAATGTTGTTTACTATGCTGACATGTTAAACATTTGTCAACGATAACACATATTTTGCATATCCATATAATTTAGAGCATCATTAAATATAGTCTGATTAATTATAATGGCTGAGAGAGGGTGGGAAAATTTAGAACATAAATTATGACTAGGCTTGACGCACACACGCACGCACGCACGCACGCACAAAGATGAAAAATGCAGACTGTTTGTTTTTCAGGTGTGAATGACAAAAAAAAAACTGCAACAACTTCAGATGAAAGAAAAGCCAAACCTCTATTACGCCGCGTTGGAAAGCCTCTTTGGCCAATTTTGCAGGCCCATCCACAGTTTTGCCGTCATCTTCGGGTCCCCAACTGGCGCTGTAGATGTCAATGTGTTGTGGGTTGAGACTGAGAGACTGAGCCTCCACCACATCAGTGACTTCTCCATCCAGCATACGCACACCTTAAATACACAGAGCAATATACACATTAGAGACAGAACAAAATCACACTTAACTGCACACTTTTCTATGTCCAACAGCAGCTAGAAGCTACAGGGTCACTGCTGTAATCCATTATTTAGATAAGATGATTCCACTTAAGAATTGCAGGGATGGACATTATAGGATTTTATTTGCACACACAAAAACAAATAAAAGAAAATAATAGAGAGCAGAAGAAAAAAACATAACTCTGACCGACTCTGTGTGAAGTTATGTGCACCTTAGTTACTAAAGACAAACACTGAGAAGCACTGAAATAAGTCCAATTAGACTGGAATAACTTAGTAATTAAAATCCAAATTTAGTGTAATATTAGTACAATCAGCAGTAATAATAAATAATAAAGCAACAGAATTTAATTGGTTTTCAACCAGAAAAACCAGCATGATAATGATAATAATAATAAGTATTGTTTTACTCCTGTTTTTAGAGCCATGTGGACTAATCAGATCAAATCAAATAAAGATAGAAAGAAAGATAGAAGAAAAGAAAGCAAGATGATGGATTAGATGGAGCAAGAAAGATGGATTATAAAAAAGAAAGAAAAGAAAGATGGAAGGAAACAGAAAAGATGGAAAGAAAGGAGAAACTAATGAAAGAAAGAAAAAAGAAAGAAAGAAATGAAGAAAGGAAACAAAGATGTAAGGAGAGGAAAGAATGAAAAAAGAAAAGAAAAGAAAGGGAATGCAAGAAAAAAGAAAGAAGGAAAAGAAAGAAAGAAAGAAAGAAAGAAAGAAAGAAAAGGATGAAAGGATGGAAGAAAAGGAAGAAGAAAAGAATGAAAGTAAAAGAAAAGAAAGGTGGAAGAAAGGAAAGAAGGAAGGATGGATGGAAGGAAAGAAGAAAAGAAAAAAAGCAAAGAAGGATGGAAGGAAAGAATGAAAAAAAATTAAGTAAAAAGAAAAAAGAAAGAAAGATAGAGAAAGGGTGGAAGAAGAAAAGTCAGGAAATAAAGACATTGTGCCAAAACTAAATTTAACTATTTTTTCTGCTGAAGACAAAAGTAGCTATTCTGAAGAATGTTGGCATTCATTGACTTCCACACAGTGGTAAAAATACTATGGAAGTCAATTACTACCAGTTACCAACATCTACAATGTTTTTTGAGTTTGGCAAAAAACATTGTAGAAATAATTAATAAAAAGTCATCAAGGGTTGTAACCATTGGAGGCTAAACGCTGAAAAAAAGCCCTCTAATTAATAATCCAGTTGATTATATTTCTATATTTATATGCACACACACTGATGGAATGATACACTAATCATAATCAAATCTGACCTGCCAAGAAAATTAATTCACCCCCCACACCCAGATTCTATAAATTGAAGTAACTATATACATCAATTACCACTGCATCTAAGAGAATGTGCAGACAGACATGCAATCAAACTAAGCGTACAGGAAGCAGCCATTCTGAAGATTGAACATCCGGCCCACACAGAACTTAGACGAGGTGCACAAACACACAGTGCTGCAAATAAAAGCACATTTCAAAGCAAAAGTCTGTGAGCTTGTGTTCGAATTTGGAGTTCATTCAAAGTTGACGAGCGACTGCATTCTTCTCTTTACAGACACTTCACAACAGACAGGGCCATCTTATCTTTCTTCCACTTCCCTGCACAAAAAGGAAACTTAAGCCCAATTGGGGTTTTGGAAAAGGAACCAAGGAATTTGAGCCAAAATGTCAAAGGTGTGGAGTTTGTTGTGATCCCAGCATCAGAATTGTTGTTGCCCACAGCTCTTAGGTTTTAAGTGGTTAAAGAAAATATGAGAAATCAGAGTCGGACATCTTGAAAACAATGTGAATCACTCCTTTGATACACAAGGGGGCGAGGTTACTCAAGGCTGCCCTCATACGGGTTAGTGCAAATAAACAAAAGTTCACAGCGGTTTCAGGTTTTCCAAAGCTATCCAAGCAGACAATACCGCAAGCAAACCCACAAATACAGAAAGAATACAGCATGTCTTGGAAAGGATGGATGTTTTTATCATGTATGTAAATTTCAAAACCCCCAAATATCAAAGGGAATTCTGGATATGATTACTTTTAAGAAAATGGGAAGGAATAACAGATACACACTAGAGGGTTAATGTCAGGAGAACCTTTTTAAAGTTCACAAAAAAGCTAAGATTTCAAAATGCAAAATTTCCAACGAGTTGTTGAAAAACAAAACAAAAAGCAAACTTTAAAAAGTGAGTAAATCCATTGCAACTTGGATTTATAAAGTTGACTTAAATTTTTTTTTTTTTTAATTATGCACATACTTCGTTTACTTAACTTTAAGGCAATGAGTTTATTCACTAAAGTAAAAAGAAAGAAAGAAAGAAAGAAAGAAAGAAAGAAAGAAAGACAGAAAGAAAGAAAAAGAAAAAAAGAAAGAAAGAAAGAAAGAAAGAAAAAGAAAAAAAGAAAGAAAGAAAGAAAGAAAGAAAGAAAGAAAGAAAGAAAGAAAGAAAGAAAGAAAAAGACAGAAAGAAAGAAAGAAAAAAGAAAGAAAAAAAGAAAGAAAGAAAAAGAAAGAAAAAGACAGAAAGAAAGAAAGAAAGAAAGAAAAAGACAGAAAGAAAGAAAGACAGAAAGAAAGAAAGAAAGAAAGAAAGAAAGAAAGAAAGAAAGAAAGAAAGAAAGAAAGAAAGAAAGAAAAAGACAGAAAGAAAGAAAGAAAAAAGAAAGAAAAGAAAGAAAGAAAGAAAAAGACAGAAAGAAAAAGAAAGAAAAAGACGGAAAGAAAGAAAGAAAGAAAGAAAGAAAGAAAGAAAGAAAGAAAGAAAAAGACAGAAAGAAAGAAAGAAAGAAAGAAAGAAAGAAAGAAAAAGACAAAGAAAAAGAAAAAGAAAGAAAAAAGAAAGAAAGAAAGAAAGAAAGAAAAGAAAGAAAGAAAGAAAGAAAAAGAAAGAAAGAAAGAGACAGAAAGAAAAAGAAAGAAAAAGAAAGAAAAAAGAAAGAAAAAAGAAAGAAAGAAAGAAAGAAAAAACGAAAGAGCAAAGACATAATAAAGGAGCAAAGAAGCAATGGAGGAAGTAAAGAAAATAATGAATGAAGGAATGAAGGAAAAAAGAAAGAAAGAAAAAAGAATGAAAGAAAAGAGGAGGGAAAGAAGGAAAAGGAAGAAGGAAGGAAAGAAAAGAATGAACGGAGGTAAGATGCAAGAAAAAAAAAGAAAGAAAGAAAGAAGAAAGGAGGGAAAGAAGGACACCTTAATTAAAAGCAACAACGATCACCTAAAGCAACAACGATAGGAAAATTACGTTTTTTCCCCTAAAGTGACTTTTATTATTTACAGGCAAGCCTGAAATTATTCATACCACTAGCAAAACTCTGACTTCTCATAAAAGAGTAGGGGTGTTGCCCCGGTGTCCTGGCAAAATTCCCTTTCGGCCCTTAACCATCATGGCCTCCCAATCATCCCCATCCACTGAATTGCCTCTATAACTGTCTCTCTCCTCCACTAATAGCTGGTGTGTGGTGAGCGCACTGGAGTCGTTGTCTTGTGGCTGCCGTCGCATCGTCCAAGTGGATGCTGCACACTGGTGGTGGTGTGGAGAGACCCAACCTCATTATTGTGGAGCGCTTTTATCGTGTGTGGCCATACACCCAATGAGCTTTATAAATACACATTACATTATCATTACATTCTTGATCCATGGGGTCTACGACGTTCTTCCCAGCCCATCGAACCTGTACATATGGGGCAGAGTAGAGACACCTGCAAGCCTGCTGTGTTCCAAGCCAGGGACACTAGAACATATTTTGAGCAACTGCTCCAAGGCAATAGGTGAAGGTCGGTATCGATGGAGACACGATCAGGTCCTTAAATCCATTGCTGAGGCAATCAGCAAGGGAATCAAGGACAGTCCATACCGCCAAGCCACGGCCAAGCTCATTCAGTTCATCAAGGAAGGACAAAGGCCAGAGAGAACAGCAAAGATCTGCTCTGCTGGGTTGTTCTCCAAGGCCCAAGACTGGGTGATGTCAGTTGATCTTGAGAGGCAGCTAAAGATTCCACCACACAACACCCAGTCTAAGTTGAGACCTGACATAATCTTGGTCTCTGAGGCCACAAGGCAATTAATCCTGCTGGAGCTAACTGTGCCCTGGGAGGAGAGGATGGAGGAGGCTCAGGAGAGGAAGAGGGGAAAATACCAAGAGCTAGTGGAGCAATGTCGGGTGAATGGATGGAGGACCAGGTGCATGCCAGTGGAAGTGGGCAGTAGGGGATTTGCCAGCTACACCCTGAGCAAGGCCTATGGTACACTGGGAATAACAGGCACAAACCGAAGAAGAGCCATAAGCAACAACGTGGAAGCAGCGGAAAAAGCATCCAGATGGCTCTGGTTGAAGAGGGGGGAACGGTGGGGGTAGTAGCATGCCACTTGGACACAGGCCAGGGTCTGATCAGCCTCGGTCGGGTCGCCTGGAGGAGGGTGTCTGTTGCAAGACCCGAAACACCACGTGAGTCCAGGAAACAACACTGATGATGTATCCAAATGTTGTGCATCTGAAGATGTTTCTGTAGCATTACTTGAAAAATAAATAAATAATAATAATAATAATAAGTTACATTCATTAATTTTACAGAGGTCGCCACAACGGAAATAACTGCCAACTACTCCACTATATGTTTTACACAGAATGTGTAAAAATTTGAATTTACTAAGCACTGAACCACAATGCCACCTTTATCTAAATATAGCAAGCTTATTTTAGTGTAAGCAAAAGAAAAGGTTAGTGATTTTAGCTTTTTAAAGCAACCTGTGAGCTTCAGTCCAGACAATACCACAAACAAAACCACAATTACAGAAACACACAGAAAAATTTCTTGGGAATTATGAATGCTTTTATAAACCAAGACAAAAAAACACTGGATATGATTACTTCCCAGGAAAAGAGAGTGCACAGACACATGTATGCACTGTGGTAATAAAAGCAGGGATGTGTGTTTTTTTATTATTGAGACA